ATTGGTGTATACAAAAATTTTCCCGATCATAAAATGACAAGAGTGCCACCTATTCAATTTGTCACTTGAAGTAAAATTCTGCCCTTTTTCTTGGCCTTGGAGAAACTGCCAATTTCTCACGTCATTGGGGCTCCACTAAAATACAGGAAAAGAAAGGGAAAAAAAATGCTACATTTACTTGAGAGCCAATTTTCATACAAGTGAATGAGTGATTATCCCACTGGAGTAAAACCTCTCTTTATATACTGCAAACAAGAAAACGGCATACCGACGAGTCTATCAACCTCAAGGGCCTCAGCAATCAAAGCGTTCAAAACCATACTCGAGCCCGAACTATCCTTGGACCTGCCTAATCCCCTACACACAACGAGCGATATATTGCACAACCAAGGCACGGGAACCATGTATGCCAAACCGCACATTGAACTCTCTCCCTCTAACAGAACATCTCTATATGCACGGCACACTTGGTATGTATATTTACCCATTGACAAAAACGAGCGGTCTTGTGGGTTTGAGTCGCTGCCTTCTAAGTCGACATCCGAGTGAAGGTTGACGACAACAGTCCCGTGCCTTGGATGGATCCGATTTTTCAGGTTCTGGATGAATGGGGAATGAGGGTCCCATAATTTGCGGGGAAAAATATCTTCTCCATCATAGGCATCGATGAAGACGAGGTCATATACGTTAGAATTGTCATCCAGGATGAATTTCTCGGCATCCAAATTGAACAAATGGAGCCGTTCGTGAGTACCTCTCCACATTAAGTTCTCAATCAGGCTGGACTTTGGGAGTGCCCGTTTGCCGTATTGGTTCATGATTGATAAAGCTGGGAAGCCCATTGCTTGGGTTGAGGCTGAGATTACAATTGGGTCGATTTCGACTATGTGGACTACAGCACCTGATGACGTTTACCGAGTAAAAAATGAAGCAAACTTTAGCAAGTAGTGAGATTTAAGGAAAGGATAGTAATGAGCAATTTCAACGAGTGAGTTAGGGCGTGATTGTATATCATTTGTACAGTAAATATCCCACTCAAAACTCAAATTTAACTCAACTCCACTATCTCCAATATTATCAATATAATTAAATAATATCAACCAATCATTATTACACATCACATCAACTTTAATTCACTATTCATCCACTCACATAATTTTAACTAACTATCACTTCCAATCATTTTCTCCTACTTTTACATCAAATCAACTTTAATTATTTTAATTTGAATATTATCTTAATATATCCACTAACAACTAACCATACTACTTTTTAAACTTAACTATAGTTATAAAAAAACTAATTTTTTACTAGTTGAATTCATATCCAATAACCCCCTTAGGATCGTTTAGTTGAGTTGAAGGCTAGAATTATATTATCATTTCAAGAGAACATTAAATAGGAAGTAAGAGTGCAGTGTTTGCAAGTGAAGGTAATTGTTGTAATTAACCTTGTAGAAACAACTAGTGTGAATCTAATTTTGTACAAAAGCTCCAGGCAAAAAGTTCATCAATACGATTTTTGTCTCTCCCAAATATAAGGAACTTGTAAATTGCAATCATAAACTTAAAAATAAAAATAAACAAATATAGATCTTACTGCTAAACAAGAAAAACCGAAACGTTTACTCCGATCCTTTAACAAGGTGAGATGAGAGACAAATAAGATGAAGAATATAAACAGACACAGGTATCAAAATATCTGATCAAACTCATCTGACAATAACCTGAATGTTATAGCATTCAGTTATTTTACATTTCATACAACGAGGGTCGCTTGAATGAAAATCATCAAAAGAATAAGATATACAGATATGGCATAACGTATTATTAAATTACCAAAAAAGAAGTTTCAATTCTAACCTCGTATCTTACTAGCCAAATACAAAGGTATGCTCCCTCCACCATGCCCAATGCACAAAATTTTCATATTTTGTTTCGCCTCTACAGCATTCTTCATGAGATCAGAATTACACAACGAGATGGTGGTCAAACCAGCAGATACCATGCTCTTCACATCTGCAAGCAAAGACAAAAAAATTTAAAGATTGTCCAAAATATTCTGCAGGTAAACTTCTAGTGATAAATTCCCAAAAGAAAAGTCGCGGCACACATATTACATGGTATGGCCAAACAATGCGCCTGTTGGATAATGCAAAAAGAGTCAGGATCGTTTTCTCTGTATGCGGACATTACTTTTACTGCACTTTGGAGAGTATTCTCGTTAAAGTGAAGTGTTCTCCATTCATAAGCACAAACTTTGAACTTCTGCTCGTTTTTAGAACCCGGATGCATCTCTGCATACCTCTGATCAAGCCATCTTTCAGTTCTTCCCCAGTGTAATCTGTCCTGCACCATATTTTAGGTACAGTTGATGACCCAAAAATCGTAAAAAGTCCCGACTTCCAAAGAACTCGCTAATGTCCATTAGGAAGTAAATAGCTACACCAAACAATCCATCTACAGAGCAAACCCACCAAGCTTCACATAGAAATAAGCTCTTAATACAACTTCATATTTCAGAACCTGCTTCAAGAACTCCCTCAAAAACACAAATAAAAAGTATGCTCGGGTAAAGATACAAGTTAAAATTTCAAATTATCGACTTATTGAACATTAAATTCGAGATACTTTTTTGAAGATACACGTGCTATTTTTTTGGTCTGAAGCTGCAGTTGCATTACATTACTGAAATTGCATTCTACAGACACTAATACATTGCAAACAATGGCTACAAGAACACGCTCAAACACAGAAAGGATAAAAAATGTAAACTTCAATCGGCCAAGAAAACATACTTACAGGTTTAGAACAAGGATGAGCTACTACAGTGACGACACCGTTTCCGTTTTGTGAAACTTCTCGAAATACGGTGCGGCTACTGGCAGAGCCGCCGGCCCACCATTCGCCGGAGTAAAACCAGTCGCCTTCGTCCAGTATACGGCGGCCATTAATCGCCGTGGAGAACCGCTGGAGGCTCCACTTTGCGACGCGTCTCCCCAAATTCAGCATTTCTGGAATCGAAATTAATTGAAAGGAGTCATTTTCGTCAAACGGAACAGGCCTGAGCTTAAAGTAAGGGAAGTCTTAGGGTTTTGGCTTTTGGGTTCTTCAAGATTGGTTGAAGGTAAGCAGTTTGAAGCACGTGAGACAATCCGAGAGCTATTATTATACTTTACAGTTTTAGTGCATTTTTTTTTTAAGTTCTACTGTTATTTTTTTTTTGGAAACCATGGAAATATTATATAATAATGCACAAATAAGCAAAAGTATAGTCACTGGTTGAATACAAATAGTCAACAACTGAATAAACTGGAAGGACATGTCAAAAGACCGTCTAGAACCAATTCCAATAGAGTGATACTCTAGAAACACAAAAAACACAACGACACTAAAATTTCCCAAGAGGATAATGAAAAAGAAAAAGAAACGACCCCAACAGGGTAATGCTCGAGTATACGATCCCAACAGGATAATAATGTCACACTCGAACTACTCAAGGACAACGACCCAAACCTAAAATACAAAAACTAACATAAACAAAGACACTGACATCACAAAACAAGAACAACAAATAAACTAAAATTGTCCTCCCTCAGCAGAACATGCAAATTGAACAGCATACATAGGCCGACTCCAAAGAGAGAACCGAGAAGCAAGAACCCTGCTCGTCCCTGCCTCACGCCTAGCAAATACGAGGGCTAAGTTCCGAATCAAACCCCAATTCAGTAATTAAGAGATTCACCCCACTGCCCACAGTTGAATAATACATTCAAACATAGTAAAAATAATATATATATATATATAATTTTATTTTAATTTTAAATTAATTACCCAAATTCAGTAATTAATTAATAGATTCACCTTGAACGATTACCTCGGGACGGCTTAAAATTTTATGCCCTAAAATATGAAAAGGCACTTCTCCCTTTCTCTCTCCAACACGCATCACAATTTACCATTGTTCTAAAAGTCACGAGGCGTCCGCTAGGTGCTTGACCAGCGCCGAGAGCGCCTAGTCAGGGCCTAGGAGACGTCTAGAAATTAATATTAAATACATTATTTTTTATTTATTTTAACTAATTACGAAATAAAATTATCTCAACTTATAATAAATCGACACACTTAAGTCCAAATAACAAAATTAATATATTTTAAATACTCATGAGAACAAAATAATGTAATTAGTATTTAAAAAAAAAAATAGAAAAACTGCAGCCTAACCGCCTGGCCGCCGAGCCCGCCAAATCCACTTAGTCCCGCTGAGGCGCCGTATAGAGATCTGGTTGATTTGTGCAAATCAGAGGCGCCCGAACATCGCCTATAGTTTAGACGCCGCCTAAGCCGATTTTAAAGAACAATGCAATTCACACGCAGAGAGAGCTGACCACATCTGAACGCATCTCTCATCCTACAAAATTCCTAAAGTGGGATTTTGGACCCACTGCGTTACAGCTGCCCATTCTCAATTTTTTATTTTTTTAAAAGTGAAATAAAAATGTGTTTTACATTTTTTTTATTAAAACACTCACAAATGAACAATTTGTTCTCCACTTTCTTTTTACCTTTTTTTTGGTTCCCAGAATCATTCATTTGAAACGTCGAAATAATTTTTCAAAAANNNAAAAAAAAAAAAAAAAAACCCACATCTTTTTACACCCTTAAATTTTTGTCCCTCCAAAGGTTTCTTTTGTTCCTGTCCAAGAATTTTCTGGCCCTGAATCTTAAAATCAGGGGAAACAGTGAGTGAGTTCTCAGTATTTTTATGTTGGAATCATATTTTTCTTGACATGTTTTTGTTCTGTTCTATTTGAGTTGTTTCTGAATTATTATTATTATTATTTTTTTTTGTGTGTGTGTGTGTGTGGTGAAGTGTATCCCAAAGTGAAGGTGAGGGTACAGAGGGAAGAAGATGATGATGATCAATATGGTTATGAGAAGAGTTCTTTGGAGTCCTTGAAAGCTTTTGAATGGCTCTCTCTCCACCATTCCTCTTCTTCAGGTTCTTTCTTACACTCATTTCTTTTTATTTTAATTTAAGAGTAATTGTTCTGTTTAATATAAAATGAAAAGAATTGTTGATCACAAGCTGGTCCACTAGTGCTAGTTAACTTGATTCAGATGAGGAAAGAAAATTAGTAACTGATATGCTCACACAGTTTCGAAAGAGCCCGTCGACTTTCGGCAAGCTTTTTAATGGAAATTTTGATTCACAACATGAACTTACTTGGCCTTATTGTTTGCTGATTGAACTTAGTTTGATGTTTACCTGTCAAGATCACATGTTTTTAAGGTTTCTTTCTTGTAATTAGTAACAATATGGGAGAACTTGGCACCTTTTTCTGTATGTTGAAAGCTTTGTTATCATGAAATTAAAGCATGAGAAACATTGATTTGTGCAGCCATTGGATTTTCAGTTTTTCATAGTTTGAATGTTACATAGTAAGAATGTGTTTGTGTGTGTGTGTGTTTTTCTTTTTTGGGTGGCAGATGAGTCCCCAGTATCAGTTGTGAGAGTTCCTCGAGCATACGCTCCGAAATCACCAGCTCCTGGTTTTCTTTCATCCAAAGGTTTGGTATTTGCCAGTTTTAGTCATTTGTTTATTTTTTTTTTTATTTTTTTTTTCCATGAGAACTTACTAATTGTTTGTGTCAAATGAAGATACAAAGGAAAAGAAGGCAGTTGTTGAGGGGAACTGGAAGAGTGCTAGGCCAGCATCAGCCCCACGGCCACGAGCTGTCTTGTCAAGTCCCGGTAATTTTCACATCATTCAAACCTTCGTAAGCATATAACTTTTTTGCATCTTATCTATTTCTTGTTCGGATAATTTCAGAATAATAAACACATACTGCAAGTTCTACCATCTATGTGTAGAATTTTGATGAAGCCAGAGAAAATCTTGCAGACCTTGTGGTTTAGTCTAGTTACAAAGAGCCTCACTTATCTTAGAATATGTATTATATGCAAACAAATATGCATTATATGCTCAATCTGCTAGCTGTGATAAAATCCTGCTGTTCTTACAAACTTACGGTACATGATAAAATTTGATTATACTTTTCTGCGTTCTTTTCACTCACTGTGTAATTAATCTAGGCACTATGCTGAGAAAATCATTCGTTTTCTTTTTTTCCTCATATTCGAGTCAGATAATGACGGGCTCATCGGTAGCAAAACACTAGCAAGAGGAAAGCAATTTTCCGGTCTGAAAAATCGGCCTGCGAGCCAAAACAGACACAGCCAGTGTAAGAACTTTCTGAAATCTTCAAATTTTGAAGGCGGCTTTACATTCACCGCACAAGGATATCACAAAGAATCAGCTGAGCCCAACAATAGTCTTCGTACGAAAGGCAGAACAGCAGTACATCGGAAAAAGATAAACCACCAGTCACCATAATCGATGTTCGGGGGAAAAACGAATGATACTGAATGAATATGTGTTATAGACCATTTTCTGTTCTCTGGTTGGAGGGAATTTGGTAAAGGAAAATACACTTGCTTGAAATAATATTTTTGGATGACTGAATAAACATATATTAATTTTTGTGTGAGGTGTGTGAATTCAGTCTTGTTTCATTGTAATGTATGTGGGAAACATAAATCTAATTGGAAAATAAGGAAGACAAAAAATTAAAGAAAAAAGAAGGGAAAAAGAACAAGTAATTTGAGTGATCTAGCTACGTTTCTTTCCATAACATGGATTCTGCAAAATTTGATTGTTATTTGTTAGTTTGGATGGCCTAATCCTATCTATATATAATTTCAGAATGCAAAATGTGCTGAGTCTAAGTGGTAGATTTTCATGCTTCGGGATCTTATCTGACAAATTTTAATATTTTGTCTTTTGGTTTGGATGAAGTTTAATTTATTTCAAATTAAAAAATAATTAGTTTTTTTTTTTTTTCGGAACGATAGA